ATATTATACATATATTGTTAGGAGAAACATTATTAATAAAGAAATATCTGGAAGTAGAAATGCTTTGAAATAGAAACATATAAATAAAAAAGCTGAATTCTTGGCAGTCATTACTCCAGTCTTCAGTGCCATACGATCTTTCAGAAATCATTCGAACATGCTGCTTTGGTGTTCAAGGAACATTTCTTATTATTATCAATGTTGAAAACAGCTGCTTAATATTTTTGTGGAAACCGTGAGACAATTTTTCAGGATTCTTTGATGAACTGAAAGTTTAAATATTTTAACTTTTTTTTTTTCTCCAGCTCAAGTTCAAAATAAGAAAAAGCTAAATACTTTCTTCTGTACCATTTTTTCTCTACACCAATATCTATACTACATATGTCTCTAGTATGAGTTTCAGCATCAAGTGAGCCTCCCCTCTGGCTCATTGGACAATTTTTCAGGATTCTTTGATGAACTGAAAGTTTAAAAAAAACAGCATTTTGTAATACTATAAATGTCGTTGTCACATTTGATAAGTTTAATGCATTCCTACTGAATACAATTATTTATATTTTAATAATTTATATTTATAGATTATCATTTATAAAATACATTAATTGAATTATTTATTTTATTATTTTTATTTTATTTTATCATTTCTAAAATAAAATTGTAATAATTTATATTTTCATAAATGTATTTCCTGGTATTTCCTGCTGTTCTTTACAAAGGTAGAAAGGCACTACACTGTTCCTCTTCTGTATCAATATTGGGGAGTACAAGTTTAGTAGAACTCATTTTTATGGAATATTGCTTTATAAATGTAGACTCTTGGATGCCCATAATGCAAGTCTAACACTTTTTCCTTCTATTGCTTCCTTAAAAATGAATTCTGTTAACATGCTGGAGGCTTTTTTCAGTTGTTGTTCCCAATCAATCTTATGTTCAGGGCTATTTCTGTTTATTTTTTACCAGTCTGTACTCACCTTGAGGGAAATGATGCCTGAAAAGCTGGAACATATATTTTCTCAGTAATACCCAAGCGCACAGTACACACATTCAGCCAGAACAATACACTAATATTACTTGCACCAAGATTAACTTAACAGTCCATGTCTTTAAATAAAACATGAAACAACCAACAGCATACGGCCACAGAAAATCTAATAGTTTGAAGCGATCTTTATTAAATTGAAGAAAACAGAACAAAGCAAATACAGAAAATTACGATCATTTTAGGTATGACAAATTCAACCAATTCCAATAGCAAACCGTACAGATGTTTCAATAACAAACCTGAATCAAGTTTATAATGTCTCAGTAATGCTCAGCGGTGTGCATCCAGAAGGCAAATACACTGCTCCAAAAATATCTAGATTAAATGTACTAGCATGTCTATATATCATGTACATTTGTCAACTTGCATGAACAGACAGGCATTTAACTGCCAATGCATTTTAAGAATTTTGCAAAATTCATAGGACAATGCTACATGAGAAGGAAAGAGAGAGGAGCAGCACTGCAGGAACGCAACAAACAGCAGAAGCTAAAATGCATACCGTACACCACATATCATGAGAGCTTAAGACATTTCCATTAAAACATGAACATGCTGGTTTCACAGCAATGGCAGCAGCAGAAGAGTTGTATAATACTTGCTATTTCTCAATAAGGCAATATCTTTATATATAAAAGAATGGCACATTGCTTAGCACAGTGTTAAGATTGACTACATCATGTATAGGCCCACTATTAATCATATATACACATAATAAACATGTGCAGGACTTCACAAGTGAAATCATTACTCCTCATCTATGTTTTAAACTTACTGATTTAGCTTATGTCCTGTTCTGTGTGTGTGGAGGCACATAGAGTGTAGGCCATTAAAAATGTGTCTATTAAATCAGAAATATATATATATAT